GACTATTGAGAGTCCCTTGGACTGCAAGGAGATCCAACCAGTCCATCTTAAGGGAGATCAGTCCTGGGTGTTCATTGGAAGGACTAATGCTGAAGCTGAAACTCTAATACTTTGGCCACCTCATGCGAAGAGTTGACTCNGTGGACAACAGAGGATGAGATGGTTGGATAGCATCACCAACTCAATAGACATAAGTTTAAGTAAGCTCTGGGAGTTGACATTGGACAGGGAAGCCTGAAGTGCTGCAGTCCATGGGGTTGCAAAGAGTTGGACATGACTGAGTGACTGAACTGAACTGAAACTAAATCAGACAGGGAAAAAAAAATACTGCATGATTTCACTTATATGCAAGATTTAAAAACACAAACAAGCATAATAAAATAGAAACAGACTCACAGATACAGAAAACAGACTGGTGGTTTCCAGAAGGGAGAGTGGTTAGAGAGTGAGCAAAATGGTTGAAAGGGATTAAGAGGTACAAAGTTCCAGTTATCAAATAGCTAAGCACGTGGAGATGTAATGTACAGCATGAGGAATATGGTTAATAACATTGTATTAGCTTTGTATGGTGACAGATTATAACCAGACTTATCATGGTGATCATTTCATAATGTATATAAATGTCAGATCATTATTATATAACCCTGAAACTAATATAATACTGTATGTCAGTCATACTTCAATTAAAAAGTTAAAGTCAGTTAATTTTTTTTTTAAACAGTTCCAAAAGAAAGAAAAGCAAGGCCTCCTATCCCGTAGACTTAGCCTCTCTGGTGTTGGGGAGGGTGAAAAAAAGGATGAAGGGGGAGGGACAGGAAAAAGGTGGAAAGAGAGAATGGATTGGATCTCACTAGAATGTGAATGTGCAGATAAAAGCTCAACTTTCTGCTCTAAAAACTCTTGCAATATGAAACAATAAATTGCAATGCAGATTTGCTTCTCTAAGTAGCAAGGTACTGAAACCCAGTCTCAGCTGGGTTACCTGGATTTATTTGTAAGGGGGAAAATGTGCTTTGGATCACCTAGGGAACCTGACTGCATTTAAGATCACAATGTTTGCCGCAGATTCTCTCCCGGCTACCGTTTCCTTGGAGCCTGTGGGCCTGGCTTGTGTTGGGAGATACCCCTGAGGTTATACCTACAACGAGGCTGAGGTAGGCTCCTGACACCTGGCTTTCAGGGAACTAGAAAGTGATTTTGAGTAGCTATTCACCCTAAATTCTTGCCTGAAAAATTCCATGGACAGAGAAGCTTGGCAGGCTACAGTCCATGGGGCCACAGAGAGTTGGACATGACTGAGCCACTGAGAATGCACACAAACACACTCATCCTAAATACCTAATGTCCCTACCCAGCCTACACTGCCTACCAATTTCTCTCCTGTTCTTCCAATATTAAGGTAACTCACAAGAGAGACTTTGGGGGAAATTCTGACTTAAGTGAATACTTTTTCCCTAAAAGAATTGACTGATTTATAAGGATACATAATCTTGGATGTTGGGTGGTAGAGGGTGGGCTGAGATTCAAACCCTTGTCTGTTGCAGGAAGGGGGAACCCCTTCCAGGGCCCGAAACTGGGCTCTTGTTTAACACTCAGAAATGAATTGTCTGAGGAGACACATGTACTGACAAAGCAAGAGATTTTATTGGGAAAGGGCACCCGGGTGGAGAGCAGGAGGGTAAAGGGAAGCCAGGAGAACTGTGGCTCACAGTCTCGGGTTTTATGGTGACGGGATTAGTTTCCGGGTTGTCTTTAGCCAGTCATTCTGACTCAGAGTCCTTCCTGGTGGTGCACGCCTTGTTCAGCCAAGATGGATGCCGGTGAGGAGGATTCTGGGAGGTGGTCAGACGTGCGGTGTCTCCTTTTGACCTTTCCTGAACTCTTCCTGTTGGTGGTGGCTTATTAGTTCCATGTTCCTTACCAGGACCTCCTGTCATGAAAGAACTCATGCAAATGCTGACTATGGTGTCTGGCCAGGGTGGGTGGTTTCAGTCAGTCTGCTTCCCCTGACACCTCTGGCCCTAAAGCCCTTACATTGCTGCACTGGCAGCTTAGGTGATAAATGTTCTGGGGAAGTTTAGGACAGAGCAGCCCACCTGTGGTGAATAGGTTTCTAACCCTTATCAAGAGCTTCTGACTGAGTTGGATGCTGTCCTGAAAGCTCCTGATCGCAGCCACGCATGCTAGATCTTCCTGAGTCTGTGCCACAGTTCCTCCCGTTTTACAGATGTGGAAACTACAGGCGCTAAGAGGCTGACACTCGTGCCCGAACACACAGTCAGTAAGTGGTAGGGCCTGGATCTGGTTTCAAGCCTGTCTACTCTAAGCCACACTGGAGTCCATCTCAGAGATGTTGAGCAGACTCAGACACATGTCTTTTGCAGTGTTTTCTAGAATTCTTTCTCCTCTTCCTGAGCCCCTCATTCACTGTTCTTCAGCTCGGTGAGACAGAAAAGCTAGTGACCCAGGACGCACCTTTCAGGGGAGCCCTGCTGGACTCCTTATGCCAAATGAACTCCCCAGCACTAATAATAATCCCATCATATGAGGTTCATTCCTTTCAGCTGTAAAGCATTTCTGTTTCTTAAGAACCTTTTTTCAAACTGCAAATATCCTTGGATGTAACAAAAATCACAGTTAGGTTTCAGTCAGTCTGCTTCCCCTGACACCTCTGGCCCTAAAGCCCTTACATTGCTGCACTGGCAGCTTAGGTGATAAATGTTCTGGGGAAGTTTAGGACAGAGCAGCCCACCTGTGGTGAATAGGTTTCTAACCCTTATCAAGAGCTTCTGACTGAGTTGGGTGCTGTCCTGAAAGCTCCTGATCGCAGCCACGCATGCTAGATCTTCCTGAGTCTGTGCCACAGTTCCTCCCGTTTTACAGATGTGGAAACTACTGGCGCTAAGAGGCTGACAGTCGTGCCCGAACACATAGTCAGTAAGTGGTAGGGCCTGGATCTGGTTTCAAGCCTGTCTACTCTAAGCCACACTGGAGTCCATCTCAGAGATGTTGAGCAGACTCAGACACGTGTCTTTTGCAGTGTTTTCTAGAATTCTTTCTCCTCTTCCTGAGCCCCTCATTCACTGTTCTTCAGCTCAGTGAGACAGAAAAGCTAGTGACCCAGGACGCACCTTTCAGGGGAGTCCTGCTGGACTCCTTATGCCAAATGAACTCCCCAGCACTAATAATAATCCCATCATATGAGGTTCATTCCTTTCAGCTGTAAAGCATTTCTGTTTCTTAAGAACCTTTTTTCAAACTGCAAATATCCTTGGATGTAACAAAAATCACAGTTAGGTCTAGGACCCTGAGAAGGAAACCCAGGACCAAAATTTGGTTCTGGGGAGCAGGGAACTCAAATCTGGAAAAGATGCAGTATTAGAGGGGCTGGGGCAAATGTTGAAGAAGATTCAGCCCCAGATGACCCTTGATGACCCTTCCCATCAGCTCCGAGCCACCCATCTACAGCAACTTGGGACGTGTGGGATGGGATGGGGTCAGGTGACTCCTCTCATTGGTTTCCAATTGATGTTCACTTACTCTCATCAAGCTATCTGATCAGAGGTCACCTCCAGACTCATCTCTCCTCTACCTTTCCCCAGGTGCACAGGGAAGGTACATTCCCACGTCCATTCAAGCCTGAATAGAGAGATCTGACCAACACTTTATCTTTGTTCCTTCCCCTGCCTCAATAGTCATTTGCAAGCTGGGAGGATTTTAAACCCTTCCAGCCCCCCTCCTTTCCCCAATCCCCCTATCTCTCCCATCTATTGCCATTGTTGGAAATGAATCATGTAAACAAACATTAAAAAAAAAATCTACAGTAGCCCTAATTGAATCTTCCTGCTGCATTGTTATGGAGAAACAAGGGTAATTTCCTGTCACTTATTGAGCTATTTAGCAATTATTTCTTATCATTAGTTTGCAAATTCAAACAGCATCAAATTCTGTTTGCCAAGTTACAAAGGCATGGCATCATGGAAGGACCCTCTTTGCAGGAGCCAGGCCTTCCTCAGCTCTCCCCACCTCCTTTATGCCTGCCAGCCTGCAGCAGCTTCTGCAAGAAAGGTCAGGGCCCTGGGAGAGCCTGCCTAATAGGTGTTTTGCTTCCTTTGGCACTCTCATTAGCTAATGGAGCGAGCTGCTTCCCAGGGGACTGACAGCCCCACGGGGGAGCTTGGAGTTGGCATGTACATCTGCCACCCTTGGGATTGGGTCACCTGGCAGGCCAGGTCCTACTAAATAGCTAAGCCAGATGAAGACGTGAGCATTCTACATTATCAGCCTTCACCGTCTGTTTTCTTTGCCTACAGTCAGGTCTGTATTTCTTAGGTATTTCTCAGGCACTCAATTCACAGCACACATGCCCAGGAGGGCCACAGACACTGTCCCTATCATTATAGATGCAAACACAGGCTGAAGAAGAACATCAGTACAAGGAGAGAACAGTCAGCAGGCCATCACTCAAGGTGGGGGTGGCTTTAAACAATTCTCACAAATGACACTTGCTTCCAAGTAAAATTAGGTCAGATGTTTCTTGCGANTCATTATAGATGCAAACACAGGCTGAAGAAGAACATCAGTACAAGGAGAGAACAGTCAGCAGGCCATCACTCAAGGTGGGGGTGGCTTTAAACAATTCTCACAAATGACACTTGCTTCCAAGTAAAATTAGGTCAGATGTTTCTTGCGAAAAGCCTGAGGGAGGGGGGAAGGCACAAAGGACACAGCACCAGTGCATCTACAAAATTCCCAACTATCACATTGCCTGGGTGATGGAGCTGCAGGGAGCTTGTGGTCTGATTGAGCTACTGTTAACTTTTGTTATCAACTGCTGACACCTACTCTCCACCCCCGCCTCCGCCCCCCACCACCACTGGGAAGCTGCTTGATTGCACCACAAAAGCCTCTTGTTACCAAGCCAAACTTGGGTCTGCTTGTCCCACACAATAAAACCAGTCTACTGGGTTATGGTGAAGGTAAGTGCAATATTTATTACAGGGAGCCAAGCAAGGAGTCCAATAGCTAGTTCTCAAAACTCCTGAACTTCTTGATGGGTTTCAGCAAGACATTTTTAAAGGCAAGGTGATGGAGGGGGTCCCAGGGTGTGTGATCAGCTTGTGCACAATTCTCTGATTGGTTGATGGTGAGGCAACTGGGTGGAGTCACAGAGGGTAATATTATCAATCCTTAGGCTCCAGAAGGTCTGGGAGCTATGTGTTCATGATCATCAAGTAGCTAATTTCTTCCATTTGGTGGTGGTTTTATTACCTGAAAAACAACTCAGGAAAAGTTCATCAGATATACTATTACCCGGGTAGTTCAGAGATGAGCTAAAGCAGAGGACCTGGGGGCTGGGTTTGTCCTGGGAAAGCCCCATAGGGTCCGGCTTGGTTTCAACTCTTCTCTCCACCTCTCCCACAACCCTCATGCCCAAAGGCCCAGCAAAATACTTAGAACATGTACAGGCTGATAGTAAGAGAACTTGCAATGGGAACAAGGATGAGTGGCTGTGTAACAAACTACCCCTAAATTTAGCAACTTAAACCAGCAAACATTTGTCATCTCACAGGTCCCATGGGTCAGGAATCTGGTGTGTTTTGTTGAGTGCCTCTAGTCCACTATCTCTTAAGAGACTGAGGTTGCAATGAAGCTCTTGGCAGATGCCTTGGACTCATCCAAGGCTAACAGGGTGTAGGGAATCTGCTTCCAAGGTTACTCATGAGGTCATGGGTATGTGGGTTGACCTTGGTACCTCTCTTAAAGGCTTGTTCCTTGAGTTGTGCAATCTAGAAGAGAGGAAGAGAGGTTACTCAAGAAAGAAGCTGTGATTATTTTGTCACCTATGTCAGATATGATGTCCCATCACTTTTTCTGTGTTCTGTTTGGTAGAAATGAGTCACCAGGTCCTCACTTACATAAGTCATGAATATCAGGGGGTAAGGATCACTGGGGTCACTCAAAGGCCACCCACCACACAGACCTTCAAAAATCCAGTGTCTCTATATTTTCCCCTCATCTTTTGTCTTCTCTTAATTAATTTAGCAGTAATTAGTGGAGCATCTATAATGCACAATGCCTTGTGATATATACCATGAGTAACGCAACAACACTTAATAAGAGTTTCTTTCTTTCTTGGGGGTCCCAAGCCCATGGATGAGATGAGACAAGACTATCTTGTCTTATCTTGGAAGCAGCTTGAGTGCTCAGGCTGAGGAACCACTAAGCACTGTGGTACTCTGATGAGGAAGCTAATTCAGGGAAAGTTTCCTTTACTCTTTTTAATCCACAAATAGAAAGGAAGAAGAGAAGAAGAAAAAGAAGAAAGGAGGGAGAAAAGGAAGGTAGGTAAGACTGAAGAATGGAAGAAGAAGGAAGAAAAGATGAGAAGAAGAAAGGGAGGGAGGAAAAAGATGTGCCAGAGATAGCTTTCTCAATTCACTTCTTTTGTTAGAGATATTTTAATGATTCTCTTGTTGTTTTTCACTCCCTAAGTCCTATCCAATTCTTTGCAAATCCATGGGCTGCAGCAGGCCAGGCTTCCCTGCTACATAATAAATTATCACTTAGACTGGGATTCAAAGCTTTTCCAACTATCTCTTCTGTAACAGTCCCCACCCTAGTCTTACCTTCCACACTTAAACGGTGAAGTAAATTATTGGTGGATTCAGGATTTTAATCCAGTCTCCCCAATTTATAAAGCTCATATAATGTCTACCATACTGCTCTGCTCCTCAAATCAGAGTAGTATGGTACAATACAATTTGACAACCAGTTAAATATGGGTAGCAGAGAAAAGGAATAGTTTGACCATCGCTTTAGACTCCAACTGGAATGGATCTATGAGGAACCACTAAGCACTGTGGTACTCTGATGAGGAAGCTAATTCAGGGAAAGTTTCCTTTACTCTTTTTAATCCACAAATAGAAAGGAAGAAGGGAAGAAGAAAAAGAAGAAAGGAGGGAGAAAAGGAAGGTAGGTAAGACTGAAGAATGGAAGAAGAAGAAGGAAGAAAAGATGAGAAGAAGAAAGGGAGGGAGGAAAAAGATGTGCCAGAGATAGCTTTCTCAATTCACTTCTTTTCTTAGAGATATTTTAATGATTCTCTTGTTGTTTTTCACTTCCTAAGTCCTATCCAATTCTTTGCAAATCCATGGGCTGCAGCAGGCCAGGCTTCCCTGCTACATACTAAATTATCACTTAGACTGGGATTCAAAGCTTTTCCAACTATCTCTTCTGTAACAGTCCCCACCCTAGTCTTACCTTCCACACTTAAACGGTGAAGTAAATTATTGGTGGATTCAGGATTTTAATCCAGTCTCCCCAATTTATAAAGCTCATATAATGTCTACCATACTGCTCTGCTCCTCAAATCAGAGTAGTATGGTACAATACAATTTGACAACCAGTTAAATATAGGTAGCAGAGAAAAGGAATAGTTTGACCATCGCTTTAGACTCCAACTGGAATGGATCTGGAAATGGTAATGCCACTGCTTAAAGACAGGAAAAGGGTTTAAAGTTTCTATTTTAGTTTGCCACTTTGAAGTTTTGACAGGACCTTTGAAAGGTAAGGTCCAAGGTAGAAAGTGAGCTTGGAGATGTAGTGGAAGATTTTCAGAGTTGTCCTCAGAAGTAGTAAGTGAAGTGTTAGTAGTAGTTGAAATTTCCAATATTGACGAAAACCAACATTGATAGTTGTGGTTTTCTCATGTAGGAATATGAAAAGGTTAAACAACAGAGCCCCAGGTGTGACAGTCTACAGGTGTTTGAAAAACAATTTGCATTGTTTCATGCAAAATAGAAGGTACTCATGGAGAAACTGGTTTTCAGTAGTCAGAGACTCTTTCCTGGAGAGCTCAGTTTGGAAGGGGCCCTCTTCCCACCAAAGGCCACGGAAGCCTGTATAAATCTTTACACCACTTGTGGCGGCTTTTGTTCAACTGCTCAGTCATGTCCGACTCTTTGTGACCCCACGGACTGCAGCACGCCAGGCTTCCCTGTCCTTCACTATCTCCCGGAGTTTGCCCAAGTTCATGTCCATTGAGGCAGTGATGCCCCCCAACCATCTCATCCTCTGTTGCTCTCTTCTTCTGCTCTCAATCTTTTCCAGAAAAGGTTAGTTTTCATTTCAATCCTGCCACTTGTGGTGGGCAACCTCTAAGAGGGTCTCCAGTGACCGTAAACTCCTGGCATTCACACTCTTAAGTAAAGCCTCTTCCTGAGTGTGGACTGGAGTTAGAAGGTCTCTTCAAGTGAGTAGAATGCAGCAGAGATGGGTTCATTTTCTGAGATTAGGTTACAAAAAAGACTATATTTTCTATCTTGGGTGCCCGCCTCTGGCTCATACACTCATACACTGGCTCTGAGTGAATACAGACACTATGCTGTGAGCAAGGAACTGATATCTTTGGCCAACAGACCTGAGCCTACCAACAGCCACAGGAGTGAGGTTGAAAGAGCATTTTCCTCCAGCCGAGCCTTCATAGCCAGTACTTCGATTGTGGTCTGAAAGAGACACAAAGCAGAGTGGTCCAGGTAAGTCACGCCTGGATTTCTGACTTTCAGGAGCCATAATATAATACACACATATTGCTTTAAGCCATTGCATTTTGGGGAAATTTGTTATAGAGCAACAGATAACCAATGCATCATTCCAAGTACCTCAAGGTGAGAGAAATGGACTAATCTAGTGCTGCTAACTGGAAGCTGGAGAAGAATGTCTCAGAGACTCAAAACACACCAGTTTTGCACAGATCAGTGTAAAAGTTGTCTGGAATTGGAATATAGAGATCGTTGGAAATAGACCCCAATTCAAGGAAGTCATGAATTAATACAGGGCATGAACTGAGACTGAACAATAAAGCAAAGGAGAGGATTCAAACAAAATCAGACCAGGGACAGTTAGTGTTAGTAGTAGTTGAAATTTCTGTTGGGACAGAACTGTCAAGAGACAGTTCTCTTGTTCAGTCACTAAGTCTTGTCCGACTCTTTGTGACCTCATGGACTGCAGCATGCCAGGCTCCTCTATCCTTCACTCTCTCCTAGAGTTTACTCAAACTCATGTCCATTGAGTCAGTGATGCCATCCAACCATCTTGTCCTCTTTCTCCCCTTCTCTTGCCCTCAATCTTTCCCAGCATCAGGGTCTTTTCCAATGAGTTGGCTCTTCACATCAGGTGGCCAAAGAATTGGATCTTCAGTTTCAGTATCAGTCCTTGCAATGAATATTCAGGATTGATTTCCTTTAGGATTGACTGGTTGGATCTCTTTGCAGTCCAAGAAGACAGTTCCCTTAGTTTCTCCAGAAAGAAATTTCACAAAAGTCTCAGGTCAGAAAGTATTAGGAATGAAACCAGAGTATCACAGTCATGATATTAGTCATGTTAATTGTAGTATGTAGTACATAGCACAAGGGTCTCAATACATAGCACAAGGGTCTCAAAGCTCAACCCAAGACTTGTTACTATGATGCTGTGAATGTCTAAACAACAATCTGTACTATCAACCAGGGTCTGTTTAAAAAGTAACTAATCTGCATCTATGGGCTTCCCAGGAGGCTCAGCACTAGAGAAACTGCTTGCTGATGCAGGAGACATGTTTGATACCTGTGTCGGGAAGATCCGTGGAGAAGGAGATGGCAACCCACTCCAGTATTCTTGCCAGGAAAATCCCATGGACAGAGGAGCATGGTGGGCTACGGTCCATAGGAAACAAAAGAGATGGACATGACTTAGAGACTAAACAACAACAGCAGCAGCCTGCATCTATACACACCTATTATGTGCCGGGCACCTTTCCTAGTGCTTTACACGTCACCAGTGACCTCCTGAGGTAGGTACTATTATAACCATCACTTTGTAAATAAGAAAACTGAGGCAGAGAAACTTTAAATAACGTGCTTAAGCACCCAGCCAGGAAGTGGTGGAATCAGGAGTTGAGAATCTGTTTAGTGCTACTACTCCGAAATACATTTCTGGTGAGCCTTTTCCTGGGAAGGTAAAGAAAGGGGACAGTGTTTAGCCCTGAAGGCAGGAAGCAAGGTTAAGAAATTTCTTAACCATCCAGATGGTATAAAAGACAAGAAAATAAGTCCCCCTATGAGAAAAGTGAGAGAGGGTGAACTGGACCTTTCTGATTGACCCTCCAGATCTCTGCTGTGCCCTGATCTACACAGCTCTGTGTTCTAGGAGGCTGATGTATAGAAACTGCAACAACTCACTTGTTGCCTGGCTTCCACTTGGATTTGGGCCTTTTGGTACTTGCGGAGGTTTAGGATAGAGGGGCTCCGGCTTCCTTGAGTTGAGTTGTCATGAGCTGGTTGCATCCTCTTTGTAGGATCAGAGCTCTTGCCTGGCAGCCCTGTCTGTAGAACTACCCTCCCCAGATATCAGTAAGCATTCTGTCCCTGTCCTTTAAACCCACAGCGTGCTGGCCAGCCCTGGAGATATTGTAATGTTCTTTGTGGGTTCCTGAACCCTGCCGCATCTTTGTACATAGTCCCCTTGTTAAACTCTCTCTCGTTTGAATACATTATTTGCCTTCTGCTGTGACCCTGGTCAGACCTTAGGGTTTACCTACCACATCCAGGAAACTTGCCTAGAAGTTTGAGGGAAGGAAGATTTCAAAAGTAGCACTGATAGGTGTCACTCATATTATCTTTCCTTTCTGTTCCTTGTGGTCTTGAGCCAAGGTCTCACAGAGAGAGAGATGTCAGGGTTCCAGTAAAATGAAGGGTCGTATCACCAAACATGAGTGAGAAAATAAAACAGGAGGTGACCCTGCAGCCAAATGGGAAATTACAATAGTTACTCAGAGGCCACTTTTAGACAATCTCAGCGTCCCCTAAACATAAAAGGCAGCATTTGTAGGGCTGTTTCTCCAGCATTTTTGCCATAAAAGTCTATAAACCGGAGAACACCATCACTGTGACCAATTTCCCTTGATTGTGCTCTCAGTTGATATAACCCCAGGGAAACTAAAATGATATATATTTATGCTGTTGAAAGTAGTTGTTAATTTGTATAACATTCAGGAGTAAAGTGTGTACCGATAAGAAGAACAGGTTATACATAGCTGACAGTTTGGTCAAAATTCTGGTGAACCAGACTAAACTATTTGAAAAGGAAGAAAAATAGATAGTTGGTGTTGTGGCAGTCACGGAAATTAGGTGCCTCTCGTTGGTAATGAATCACCACATAGTTTACATGCAGAGGCTCCAGAGGTTCGACCACAAGGAAGATGAGAATAGATTCAAGTTCACTGAGAAATCCTCAACTCTTGTCTTTCAGCCTCCCGCTAGAAACTGTTTTCACAGGGCTAGGCTTCAACAAACCACAGCCGGCAGGTCAAGTCTGCTGAATACGAGGCTTCACATTTCAAAATTTTTATTATCATAATGCAGGGCTGTTCCTGAAACTTGCTTTTCTCTGCTGACTTCTATCCATACGATATCTATAGTTCTAGATCCCTGGGGAAGAGAAAATTTTTAGAAGCCTTGGGTAAGAGGCTTTAGGGATATGCCTAAAATATGAGTTTTGGAAGATTAAGCTGGAAAAGGGCTGGCGCATCTCATCAAGTACCTGAATCCATCCACAACAGACAGCATTGACCCTGCCCTGAAGAGCTAAAGGCAGGTCTACAGAGGCTGGGGCAGAGGACATGCCATGATAAATGGATTGATTTTTTGACAAAAATCGACTTTTGACAATCAATTTTGCCACAAAAATCAATCTTGTTTAGAATGGAAACCTTATTTCATTCCTGGGAAATTCAGAAGATAGAGAAACAATGGAAGATCAGCTGAAAACCAGCATGTTATAAAGCTATTAGAATTGTGTTTTGAATCTGCCAAAACCTCGTGCCTCAGCATTGTGGTGGCACAACTTATGTACTCAGAAAGCATGTTCTGAGTAAAGACATGCTCTTTATGCTAAAATCCTAAAATAGAACATTGTTCATTTATTTCCATATGTATGGTGTGTGACCTAATCAGTCACGTGCAACTGTGCTCTCTTGATGTATCTCTCTCCCTCTCTCTCTCCATATACACACACACACACACACACACACACACACACACACACACACATAGCTTGAGTAATTTCCAATGTGGGTAATTAGTGACATCACTTAGAATTCTTCACGGATCTGACATTAAAGTGAACCACTCTAGATGATGCTAAAATTGATTGGATAGGCTCAATAATAACTGGACTTTGGTTTTTATCTCACTGTAATATCAGTAATCATTTGTCAATTGCTACTGTCATTGATTCATTATGAAATTCTTTCATACACTTGAATTTTAATAATTTTGTTTTAATTTTGATTAAAAAGAACAACATTTCAATAGGTTTTAAACCAAAGTATTAATTTGTGCTCATGATTGTGTACAGTAATAACATATTTAGTAATATACAATAATAATAATTATTAAAGCTCCTGAAATAGAGGAGAGGGGAGGGAGAAAACTTCTGTAATGAATAAATGTATTTGTAATTTACTCAGAGCTGAAGTCCATCTCAGCTGTGAGAAGAAAATGCACCTTTTTATCTTCTCAATATCATGGTTATTTATATCTCACCTACAATCTATGCTATAAAACTTTAAGAGTGAAAAGTTTTAAATGACATTCAGGATTCAGGAAAATCCTATATAAAGAGAAGGAACAGGTTGGTTCACATAAACAGGCACATATATTGGCAGGCTGACATGTACAAATATAGACACCATCTAAAGAGGGCTATGAGAAGGGAGCCATGTCAAAGCTGATAAATTATTCATCACCTGTTCTGCAGAGTGAACACTATCAGGTAATGATCTGTAATTATTAATAAATAATTTAAGCTTTAATAGCTCTGAAATGAAATGCTTAATTGCATCACAACATAATTAATGGAATTAGCTGCAATGTTTAAAATGAGACTTTTTTTTCTTCATTCTTTCTTTTTCATATTTTCTTCACCCCCAGTGCCAGTAACCCAGAGGATAAATAGAATGATTAAACTGTAAATGAGTATGCGTGTGTGTTTCAGCATGGGAATATACAAGTGGGTTTGTTCTGTGACTCTTGATATCCAAGGTACTCCAGGAAGGAGAGAAATGAGCTTTGGCAATTCATCACTGACAATAAACCTAGTGGAGAATTTTCCTCAGGTTGACACAATATTTAATTCAGCAAACACAGAGGACCTACTATATACATGGACATGAATTTGAGCAAACCCTGGGAGATAGATATTGGAGGACAGAAGAGCCTGATGGGCTACAGTTCATGGAGTCACAAAGAATCAGACAGGAGTCAGCAACTGAACAACAATTATGCCCAAAGATTTGTGGCTGGTGTGACAGGGTAAGTGAGGAGAGAGAAAGGAGGGGAGTGGTGGTTCCAAACACAAATAAGAGGAATTCCTGGCCCTTTGGAGTTCATGGTCTAGTTTACAAACTTGTAGGTAAAACTGGAAAAGACAGAAGAAAGATCAGTAGATGCAAGGGAAGCTTGGTGGACTCCAGCGGCTCGAAGGGCCCCAGATCCCATCCAGCATGGAAGCTCCATCAGCTTTGTCACTGCAGGATACACAGTGGTTCACAGAGCTGTGAATACCCCCACGTAATCCCTGGGCTCCCGGACTTTCTCTACCTTTGCTTCCTTTTTGGAAATCCAGGCTCCAGCCTCTTGCTTGCTGTTGTCATTGTTCAGTTGCTAAGTCGTGTCTGACCCTTTTGCAAGCCCATGGACTACAGCCCCCCAGGTTCCTCTGTTCATGGAATTCTCCAGGCTAGAATACTGAATGGGAGGCCATTTCCTTCTCCAAGTGATCTTCTTGACCCAGGGATCGAACTCGGTTCTCCTACACTGCAGGCAGTTTCCTTACCGTCTGAGCCACCAGGT